GTCTGGTAGTTGTCAAGTTATGTTTAAGATTTGAATCATGTTTCCAATCCCCTTCCTTTCTTGTCTTTATTTCAACAGTAGAGGTGTGTAGAGATGCCGGTCCCACAAACAGCTAGATGGATGTGCCATACTGGTAGAAAAGTACAGCAGAGGTGGGTTATATCAACCTATACTGATTAAAAAGCAAGAAATAACCTAGAGACATTGAAACTTTGTTGTCTTACTCATGTCAAAGTGCATGTTCATTGCTGCTTGTTTACAAGGTGGTTGAGATACGCAATCACTATTGATTATTATGCTGTGGAAATGTGTCAATGCTACTTGAATTTCTTCTGTTATCCCAGTACCAAATTTGGCACTTCTGTTGGGACAGTACGCTGTTCTTGTCGAATGGAGGATGGGAGAAAGCACAACACCATCCATAGCCACGATTCACCTGGTATAAGGGAGAAGACTGCACTGTGCAGATCCTGAGGCTTTTGGGCAGTGAGTTTCTGGCTGGATGTGGTTGCTGATGTTGAGTGGCTGTGGTGTGTTGAGCCAACAATGGAGGTCTGGACAGTGCAGGATTGTGGTTCATCCTGTGGAGCCAGGTCAGTGACTCAGTATTTAGTGAGTCAGAAGATCTATTTTCAAGCATGATTTCAGAAGAACTACACGGTTTTCAGGATTTTCCAGTAGGGACCATGTATCTTCTCCTTGCAAGCTCAGGAAAGCTCCAGCTCTTATTCTTTGTAATTGTCAGAGACTCCTTGAGCCAGATGCCAGCAGGAGGACACATAGTTATGGGGTGAGGACCTGGTGCTGTCAGAGTTGGTGGTACTTGGTCAAATGAGAACATTCTTGGGCAAATGATGTGAGGTCAGAAGTCTGAAAAAATTAATCTGGATGAATCAGACTACACTGAGGTCATGTATTCGTGTGTAACATTCCTGGAACATCTTTCTGTATAATCAAATCTTAGACTTACAGGTTGTGTATCCTATATAAACACCGAGCTGCAGAAGAATGCTGGAGCAAGCAAACAGAAGCTGCAAGCAAGGAGCATAATCAGAGTGATTTTTCCTCTTTAAATAGGAGTAGATGGCATTACGCTTCAAACAGTGTTTAGTTTGTGGTAGAGGTGCAATGAATATTGCTTGAGTAAATGCAGGAAAGGAAGGACTGCACATCTGAGCAGGCCCTGTGGGATATGTAGGGCCCAGCAGTGCATGTTGGGGGCAGTAGGGCTGAGGTGCGTCACTGTGATGCCCAGCACTGGTGGGACTGGTTTACATATGATGGACTCTTCATGTAATAATGTGGGGGTTTATTATCCACCAGTTGGATCCAGGGGAAGACTTTGGTGTGAGGAGAGGCTGAAAAGTCTGGGCCAGCTGAGGAGACTGAGGGCAGACCTCATCGGAGTCTACAGCTTCCTCTCAAGGGGAAGTGGAGGGGCAGCACTGATCTCTTCTCTCTGGTGACCATGATGGGCATGAAGCTGTATCAGGGGAGGTCTAGGTTGTATATTAGGAAAAGGTTCTTCATCCAGAGGGTGGTTGGGTGCTGGAACAGGCTCCCCGGGACAGTGGTTACAGCCCCACAGCCTGACAGTCTTCAAGAAGTGTTTGGAAAAAAATGCTCTCAGGCACATAATGGGATTCTTGGGGCTGTCCTGTGCAGGGCCAGGAGTTGGACTTCGATGACCTTGTAGGCCCTTGCCAGCTCAGGGTATTCTGTGATTCTATGACTAATAACTGGGATGATCCATAAAGGAAATATAACAGAGATTGTATCAAAATAGGACAGATGGACACAGGTGCTGCTTACTCCCCTTTGCCCTTTCCCCACAGGACATGGACACGGGAAGATGCCACAGTTAAGATTAGCTGAGCCCACCTGGGGGTTCAAACACAAGCCCTGGGACTCAGGACGTTTACCGCCTCGGGCCGTGGCTGAGGGCACGGGCTCGGCGGGGCTGCGGGACAGACGGACCGTTCGCGAGGGCAACGGGAGCGCCCGCTGCCTGACCGTGATGGAGCAGCCGGGGCGGTGAGTTTAACGTGAGGGGCCCCGCTCCCGGCCCCGCTCCCGGCCCCGCTCCCGGCCGGGCCGCGCCTGCAGTGCCCGGCGGGGGCAGCAGGTGGCGCCGTCCCCCGCGGCTCCGCGGGCCAGGCCCCGCCGGGGGTCGGTTCTGAGCCTTAAACTCAAGATTTTCCCCTTGGGCCGGAGAGCCCTCGGTGAGAACCTGCTTGGAAACGGCGACACTGGTGACAGTGCGGGTTTTTCTGTTAAGGGGGCGGTGACGTTTAAAAATTAGCCTAAAAGAGTTACAATTAACAAACGCGTTACTCGTGTCCCTGCTTTGCCTCTTCCATCTCTCTCCGGGTTCGTGAACCCCGCTGGGACCCGAGCGGAGCCCCCCGGGACCGGCGGCTGCCCCGAGGGAGGGACGCGCCTGTGCTGGGGGTGCCTTTGCAGACCCAGGCGGGTGCGAGTTCAGAGGTGCAGCGCTGCAGCCCCTGTTGGGACACGCAGGCATCCATATGAGCATCTCCCACGAGGTCAGCTGCCCAAAGTGAGCACTCCGTGGTCTGTGGCTGATGGCTGCACTCGCTTGACGCGGCTTTTTGGCTGTGAAGGCTTGTGCGTGGCCATGAAGGTGCTGGGCATTCCTCCCCTGTGGGCAGCGTCCAGGGGTCCAGCAGGAGCAAATGTGTACAGTACAGGTATCTTTTACCTCTGATCAACCTACCTCTCTACCTTCTGCGAGTATTGACTGGCTCTAAGGGCAGGAGCTGTAAAGTATGGGCCAAGGGTTAGTTCCTGAGAGAACACTATGTCGTTACGATGTCTTTAGATGAAGACTGAAGACAGTAATCAAAAAGGCTATTTTTAACCGTGGGTTGATTTATTTGTTTTTCTTGTACAGCTATTGCACCTGGAGCCACTGATGATGGCTTGATTAATTCTCGGTGGTTTCTTTTTTCTCCACCTTCCTCTGCACGACTCTTCTGACTGGCGTGAGGTTGCATTGCAGCAAGCACAGTCTCTGGGTTCCCCCCTGCAGCCCCAAGTAAAGGCAGCTTTCGGCTTGTTGGTGAGGGCAGGGGTCCTGGAGCCATGTCTGAGTTCGTGACGTGAATGGTCCATGTGGAGGTAAGTCAGCCAGGAGGGTTTTTCTGTTCCTCCTGTAGCCATGAGTGTGGCTGAACTTGCTTCAGGCCACATACTCTGTGTGGGGTGAGCACAGTAGCAAAAGATAGAGTGGCCACCACTGGTTGCAAAGCTCTCTCAAGAAAGTGAATGAATTGGTGATGATTATCATCGAGCCTCTGGATGGATAACATGCTTCTGTCACCACGGTGTTGCTGACTGTGCCACAGCTTGTTAAAGCCAGGTTGGTATCTGTGCAACACTATTATATTGACTTTGTAACCTTGCACTGGAGGAAAAAGAGCAATCCTGAGATTTTTTTTCTTCTTTTTCTTCTGTGAGCACTGGACAGATGTTGAGGATTCTCCCTTTCTCTTTGGGCTTGTTCCTTGCAGTAGGGGATAGAAAATGAGGTGGTTTCCCTGCCATATCTTGGGGCTGAATCTGCTGGATCTGGACCCAGCAGCTTCCTAGACAGATACCGGTCCTGACCCTTGTAGCAGCACTTAGTGCTAAGTAAATTCAAGGCTACACAGTTATTGGAGCACTGTGGGAATATATAAGGAACCAAGATTTTCAAAAGTGCCCATGGATTTTGAAATCTCAGACTTCAGACATATATCCTGAGAAAACCAAGGGAAACCTGATGGCAAACCTGCACCAGAGCAACTACTTCTGCAAACCCAGTGCTTGCTAGTGTGTCTGCCCCATCCAAAAGCCTTCTCGAAATGCTCTGCCTCCCAGGATTTTCTAAATATTCTCCATTCATCCCCATCGTAATTCACACCTTATTTTTTTCCCCTCTGTGTGACTCAGTAACAGTCACCTCCCTTTTTTATTTTTCCTAGTTAAAGGTCAGCCTGAGCTGTGTATTACAGATGAAAGGATGCAGCCCAAAGCCAGCCTAGGGGCCCAGTTTGTGTTGTGGATCTCTCCTGAGGGCACCTCTGTTTGCAAGTGTGTGCCTTGCAACTTCTGAGAAGCCTACAGAGATTGCTATTGTTTAGGATAAGTTCTGTCAAATTTATTATTCGATAATTTTTTTTTCATATTTCCTTCACAGAACCCAGGCACTTTCAGGCTGTGATTTTGAGCCTACTCTGTGCCAAGTGTCAGGAATGACTTTTTGTCCTCAATGCTGAGGAGACATTTCCCACCAGTGCAGATGAAAGTGTCTCTTCCCTCCAAGGACATAGAGGAGGAGATGGCAGAAAGTGAGCTAAGTTCTGTTTTCACACTTGAAGGTAAAATGTTACCAGATTTTGTCCATCCACACATGCTCCTTAAGATTTAATCTTGAAGTATCTGTTCTAATGTACTTGAGCAAACAGTAGATAGACACAGTGGGAGGGAGTTCAAGGGCAGCTGCAGTAAGCCCTAGGTGTAAATACAACTGAGGAGAAATATAAAAGGGACGATCTCCTACTGAAGCCAACCCCCAAAGTGAGAGAACCTCTACAGGACTTCCTATAGGGAAAAGACATGTTCACCATCCTCATTTTTCTCTGTAGCTCATGTTTTCACCTAGGTTGCCAGGTGGATGTTTACTTCCAAAGCAGATGTCTCCTTCCCCCTGCCTGGATCCCACTGGCTGTGGACAGTGTGGCTGCTGGCACACTGTAACACCTGGCTCCCCCCATGATTAATGCTCAGAGCTGTGGCTATGTGGGTGAAATCTGCAGCACTGCCATGTGTGCCTTTATTGTAGTTTCCAGACTATGCAGATACATGTGGTAGAATCTTTATATATACACCTTTGAGATGCACACCTATAAAGGGAATACACCAAAATCTTGTAACCTTGTATCAGTTGTAAATAAGGAATGGCATCTCATGGCTTTTTTTATTCTTTTGAGGGGATTTTATCTATAGGTTGAGCGTGTTAAGGGAGTTTACCTCACTGCAGGTGTACCTAGCACTTTTATTGTGATGGAGCATAGATTGCACCATGATTTCTGAAGAGGCTGCTCTTTAAAGAGGTAAGATACAAAGCAACAAGCACATTCATATAATAGATCATCATTTAAGGTAACACATTCTGCCTGACATGTAGTGTTTTGCACATTTTGAATTGTCTCCTGCCAAAATATTCAGGCCTGCAGGGGGAACCCCTATTGGGAACACAGGACAGATGGATCTGAATCCAGTCATGAAACTCCCTGGGGCCAGCAGTGTGATGTTAATGATCACACCACAGTAAGATGTAAAACATACCTTTGTGCAGCTCAGTGTAAACAGCAACTTTGGTATTATGATGTAAATGAGAAACCAGCAAGAAATGATGTGTGAATGGAAACACAGCAAGGTGCTCTGAGGGAGCAGGAAGCACAGTGCAAGGGGAAATTCTGCACATTGCAAGTGGAGGTAAAATTAAACCCTGGACTCATTTCATTGTAGAGATAAACTTTAAATACTACTTGGGCTGATACAGAAGGGAGGGAACTCACCAAGCTGTACCTAACCTCAGCCAAGGTTCTGGCAGGGCATTGGATAGGTTACCATTAGGCTTGGGTTCCTGGGATCACCCGTTAAGAGCTGGAATATGGGACTGGGTCCAAAGAGAAGATAAAAATCACCAATATACCTTATTCTAATATATCCTATGGTCCACCTTCCTGCTTAAATTAGGGCTGGCTTTGAAGTTAGGCAGTGTTGCTCAGGACTTTGACTGTCTGATTTTCAGGTGTCTCCAAGGGCAGGGATACCTCTCTGGGGAGGCTTGTTCTAGTGTCTGGACAACTTCATGGTGAAAACATTTGCTGTAGCATTATGTAAGTCTGAAATGGCTCCATGTTTGGAGGGCATGAAAGACGAGAACCTGAGAACAGGTGGAAATTAAAGGGACTAGAGGGGCTATCCAGAGATGCAGGATGTGCAGAAATCCCTGGTGCCCCTCTGGAAGTCCTCCCCTGAGTGGGTAATGGCAGCTTGCCTTGGAGATGTGATTTGCATTGGGTCCTGGTGAAACAGAAGGTGCAGTCAGAGAGCCTGGTGTCGCCAAGGTAATTTAAAAATGTGCTGGGCAGCAGGAGTGGTGCTGTGTCTGCTGCTGGCTGTATTGTAACAGTGATGTGCCTCTTTGTCCCAGAGTTCCCCGTCCTCTTCCTCTCATCTCTAGCAAAGGAGTGAAGGGCTTGCTGGGAAGCTGAGCTTGAAGCTAGAGGAGGTCATACTTAACTAACCTCCTGGAGTTCTTTGAAGATATTACTGCCAGGCTAGATAAGGGGAATTCAGCAGTATGCTTAGAGTTTCAAAGAGCATTTCACAAAGTTCCACATCAGAGATTAATAGCTAAGGCAAAAGGTAAAGGAAGAGGAGGTAATAGAGGCTGTTGGATCAAAACCAGCTCGAGGGCAGGTATGAGACAATAAGCACAGATGAAAACTTTTCAAGCTGGCAGAAGGCTGTTCTTGGGACTGTTTCAGGATCTCTGTGATGTGTAATCCAGACAGCACAAAGGTGCCCCACCATGCTCATGTCTCTAAGGCAGCCTGGGTTTGGCACCACCAGCAGCAAAGTGTCCTAGCTAGACCCCCTTCTGACTTCCCAGCCTGATCAGCCAGGAGTCCTTTCATGTCTCTGTTGGGTGGGAGCAGTTGTCATGGTCTGAAGTCACCAGTTCCTCTGGGGCCATGTCACGGGGCTGCCAGCCCTGCTGCACTGCCACGTGTTTCAGAGCAGTCTATTTGCTGAGCCTGCTCCTCAGAAACACTGTGTGCACGTGAAGCTGCTGAGGTCTGAGAAGTTACTCCAGCTTTGCAGTGGGTTGAGGGAAGAGATAATTTGGTGTAAGGTCTTCCCAAGTCTGGGCACAACCTAAGCAGATTCACCAGGGCCAAAATCTCTTCAATGACTCTGCTAACAAATGACAAAATGGAATTAAATGTGCAGAAATATAGAGTAATTAATCTGCAAGCAGTGAATTGGTCTGGGGAATATGCCTTAACAGAGCAAGCATTCAGCAGAGGAATGAAGAGAGGGATTTGATGTGTGTGTGGGGTTAGTTTCTTTTGGAAAAATCCTTGAAACTGTCTGCCTAGATCACATCCGTAGCAAAAGGGCAAGCAAGACACAAGGCTGCATTAATGGAGGGACAGGATAAAATGTAAAAGAGGTGGTGTGTCTATTGCTGGTAAAGGCATTAGCTCCCACCTGGAATATTGTCAGCAGTGTTGGCCACTGCACCAGTGTGTTGTAGCACAAGGCAACCAAGAGTAGCCCTGCAGAACCTGTGCACAAAGGTGAGAGAGCTGGATTTTCCTCCACAGGCTTCTTCCCACTGCATCCATTCATCATCTAAGAGGAAATCTGAGGAGCACAAAGGGTTTCCCTTTAACTCTAACAGATGTTGGGAGTTTTGAAGTCAGTTATATTTTTCTCCAGAGTATTTATTTCTCTCTGTGTTTCTCTTGTTCCCTTCCACCCATTTCTTCTCTTCTTTTACGGTTTCCTCTTTTCTTGCTTCTTTCTGTCCTACCCCAAGCCAGGGGGTTGGTTTGTTTTTCCCTATTACATTGCTTCTCCTCCACCCCTGCCCAGGAAAAGTCAACTCACTTCTGGCTCCTGAAGGAGTCCCATCTCCAGTGAAGGGATTGTTACTTACAGGCTGTGCAGGAGGGTGAAAAATACTTTTTTCCACATAGATTTGGATGAAAAGAAATCAAAGCCATTGCTTTTGAAGAGGAGAAGCTCAGCAATCAAACTGAAGGCAGGGCATGGAATATTACTCAAACTGACCATTGAAACTCTCAGATGTGGCTTTCCTTCTACACTCAAAGGAGTTCACAATGCCATGGCTGTTTCCAATCATGAAAAGTCAGTACTAAAATCTTCCTATTTTTCCCCCTGGTGTATATTCAGAGCAAGTTCAGCACGTTGCTCTGAATTTACCCAGCTATAGAGGACAGCTGATTTCATTTGAGCTGTACAAGAGGCAAGCTTATTTTGCTTTCCCTTGGATTATGGTAAGCTTGTCAATCAATGCCCAGGGCCAGTCCATACAACACAGTTGTGCCAGGTAAGAAATGCACTTGTCAAACTGTCAAAATATCCATTTCTTCTGCTCTTCCCTTAACCAGTCCTGAACACTGAAGGAAGGCTGAGAATTTTAGGTCTGTATGTATGTTGAACTGTAAGGTATAAGTCACAATCATGACAGCACCTTAAATGACAGCAATTAGTATTTCTCAAAACTAGGGCTTTTTTTCCCCTTCATTGACTGATACAGCAATCAACGGACTGATGCACAAAATGATAAAATAGGCCTCTAATAAGAAAAGGAAAACCTATTATTTTCGCTGTTTAAATCCCCTGAAGCAGGATTGGCTATTGCTATAAAATCAGTGGAATTATCCTTGCTATTTCAACTTGCCAAACCAACCTTTTATCCCTTTAAATTCAGGTCTTTAGAGTAACTTGCCAAAATAATCTCTTGGCACCACTGAGGTGAGAATCCACATTGTGCTGCTCACATAACTTCCCTGCTCATAGAACCATTCATCCTGGAAAGATTTTGACTGGGGACTTGTGCTTTTAACCCTTTTAGCTGCTTTTGAAAATACTGCCTTGCTATCTTGTGGGAAAAGATCATGCCATAATGTACCATGACAATGGTGGTTGTGAGGAGTGTAAAGAAACATTTAAATAGAAATTACAGCTAGAAATGACAGCATGTAAGGAAAAATCAAATTACAGGATTTACCTTCCAATTCTTAAGGGCAAAGAAATTTATTTGGCCCTTTTCTTGGATGTAGCTGGGCGAGGGAAAGAAATGCCGAGTCTCATATGATCTTAATTATACGCTCTGGGTGCCAGCAACTTTCAGGGTACATGTGGATTCTTGACTGAGGCTCAGTGTGTGAACTTTGTCACTAGAGGACTGTGTCACACACAGAGCTGGGACAGGAGCCATCATTCACAATTCAAACAAACCCCAAGCCCTTCAGAGATTGAAAAGAAATATTCAGTTAACCATAAAAACCGTGGCACGATTCTCCATACCCTCGTGCCCTTGGGAACAGAAATACTTCAGGCTTCAAGTCAGGCCCTTCTTGTGAGGCTCTTGGACTGGACTGGAACCATCAGCTATTCAAACTATTGTACAAAATCCCGCTCTTTTGCAACTCCCAGCAGTTTTTCTAGACAAGGAGCACTATAATTCTAAGCTATAGATGCAAGTCCACAATTTCACTTCAGAACTTTTCCCTTGATTTCTTGGGTGTCTTGGCAGAGGGTGTTTGGACATGACAGAGCCTGGAGGTCCATGCCTTGCCATGGGACGGAGCTGACAGTGGAGAAAAGGGGCAGGTGCTGGGTGCAGGAGGCTGATTGTTACCAGCTGCAGCAAAAGTGCCTGTTTCCTGTCAAGGTTCAATAAGAAAATCTAGGTGAAAGAGATGATGTTGGGAACATTTCTTTTCTGTAGATACTTGGTCTTTGTGTGTTGACTGAAGGCCTGCAAGACTTTACTTGTCTGGCTGTAAGCCCCTCAATGGGTTTTGTAACAGCCCCTGAGCATGAGAGATGGTGCAGCTGCTTCCATCTTCCCACCTGAGCCGCAGGGGGATGTCACGCATGTTGCACCCTCACCCCCAGGACACATCTGAGTTTGGCGTCACAACGGGAATCTCGTGAGGAGCAGGAAGGTGTCCTTCATGTTGCCTCTAGAACTGAAGTTAGGCCGCTTTCATGTTCCTACCTGAACTGTGTGTGGGAGGAGGAGGGCACACAGGGATATTCTTGAGCTCTTCTGGGATTGCATCCTTAACAGAAAGCATACACAACTGGGGGGGATGTTCCTGTGGCCAGCTGTGTGACAGCAAAATTACTGCTCTCATGATAAGCAATAGAGGTTCTGCTGCTGTTCAGAAATATACTGAAGGTTCAGACCAGAATGAAAATCAGTCCTACACATGGTTGTTCACACTGTGGGCTCTTTGTACTGTCTTCAGGGGGAGAAAGTCTGCTGTGGAAATCCATCATGTCCTGGCAATTTAGAAGAATTAGAGGGAACATGCTTACTTACCTAAAAGAACAAATGCGAACATATGGAGATAGCCTTTTTTTTCTTAACCTTAGGAAGTACCAGCAAAGATTTTCATGTTTGTAAATTGTCATTTTCTTAGAGCAAAGCCTTATGGAAAAGTCAAGGTTTCTTTATGGAAGACGTGATGGAAACTATTACAGCTCTGATCCTCGCTATTGCTAGAAAAAACAGAGGTAGCAGCATAAGAGGAAAGTAAGCGCTAAAGGTCAGCTATGAACCACAGGAAAAATGATGTGGCCTCATCAGAGTTTTCTTTGGCTTCCTGAGGTCCCTACCTGCCCTCAAGAGAGTCCTTTCTTCATTGGCTCCTGTGTGGATCTGTCCTCTGATGGCTGAACAAATTGCTCTTCTCAGCAGTGACCAAACATGAGAATAACAGCTTTTCTCATGTGGATCACATCTGGGCAACTGCTGTCATCTTTCTCTGTCCTGCTTGCTCTAACTCTTGACTTGGAGGGGGGAAGACTGGTGTTTCAATGTATGAAATGCCAGCTGGGATCAAATCAATAACATTGATTTCATCTTGCGCCTCCAAAGAGCTGGGACTTTTCCTTTTAATTTTTTTTCCTGTAGTTCTATTCTTTGCAAAGTAGAAGAGTGAAACAAAGACATTGAGTGCTGCCAGTGGTCCTCAGGCACAGAGGCCAGAGCCAGAGCTGCAGAGCCCTCCATGGGTTTGAATAGCTTCACTCTCACTGGACTAAATCCGGTTTGGATGTAGGAACTTGGTTTTCACTTTTTGGGTTGGTTTGGGTCACTGTTTGTGAGTCCTAACAGGACAGAGTGCCCTTGCTTGCTGGGACCAGCCCTGCAGCCAGCCCAGGGCCAGATGCCCAGCTGGTGAAGGTGACCACATACCTTAACATTAGAGAGTTAGGCCAGGTTACAGTTGCCTATGTCATGTCTCTGTAGGTTTTTTGACACATTATAGTCATGCCTACACTGACTGTTAAAGACAGTCATTGGTGACTTCTTTTGTGACCAGAGCAAGCTCTCTGCAGCAGCAGGTACTGCAGGTTGTTGATGCAGCCCCTTGCACCTACAGAGCAGGCAGCAAGGGTGGGAGGAGGGTCTGCTCTGCTCCCCACTTCTCAGGGCAGTATGGACACAGCCTGTAAATCCTGCTGTGGAGCAGTTGTGGTTTGTCAGGTTAAGGCCCGTGGAGTGGTTATGGATGCTAAAGTAATGCCAAGATCTTCCTATGGACCCAGTAGTTCATAAAGTATCAGAGGGCAGAGCAGGGCAATTCCTAGTAAGGCAACTAAAGTAAAATATAAATGGAAAGATGTAAACTTGATAATCCAAATGAGTTTACTTTCCTTTTTATACGACAGATGTTGTTTGACCTAGGAGAAAGAATAATATTATAGAAATGGAGATCAGTCTGAGGGGAAAAAATAAAGTCATATAAAAATAAACCACAAATAGCAGCTGCTTGAATTGTATTTCTAATATATCAGTGTTGACAGCTCTCTCTGTTCCCCAGTTGAGCCAGGAATCTTATACAAGTGGCTGGTAAAGAAGAGATGAGGAGGGATGCGAGCAGAGGCAACGGAGAGGCAGAGATGATACTGCTTTGTGTCGGTGAGTGTCCTGGGCAGGAACAGCCTTTGGAGATGTGTGAGGGGATGTGGAGGTGTCACTGCACAGCACATGGAGGGGCTCAGGGTCAGAGGCTTTTGCTGTTGGTTGCAGTGAGTAACACTCATCTGCAGTTAGGAACAACAATGTACAGGGTAGAATAAAGAATAGTAAAATAAATAGAATAAAGTAATCCAAACTTGTGTTGTTGCCATAGTCTGAATGCCCATTTGGAGTGAGCTTTCTGTGGAGCATTAAATTGGTGTCCTGTGTTTATCTGTGCCAGATGAGGAGCTGAGCTGAATGTGTAAGGGTGGTGGGTTACATCCTTGGGATGTAAATGCAAAGCAAGTTTCTTACTCTGTAGGCTCAGTCAGTGGAAGAAATACTACCTAGAAAAAAAAAGAATAAAAGATCCTGACTTCTCAGTGCAGCAGCTAGTGGCTTTGGACTGTCAAGACTGGGCTGTTCAGCCAGGAGTGTGTGCCTAGGTTTGATTTGCAGCAAGTGGTAAACACCTCTTCTTTGACAACAAGTGATCTCTGACAGGGGCTTAAGATGAACGCAAAAAAAAAAAAATAAAATTAAGGCATTCCTTCATTGTTTGTGAACAGTTAGGCTGGAACTGGCATGATATGACTGTGAGAAAAACTGGCAGTGCTTTCCTTTGTGTGTGAGGAGCTGTGCCTCGGGCTGTGCGGCGCTGGGAGCCCGGGCAGGCACGGTGCAGCTCCGGCGTCCTGTCCGCAGCGCGCTGTAGAGCAAATAACACATTTTTATTTTTATACAAATGTGCATAACTTCATCCATTTCTTGTGGCTGCTCTGACAGGAAAAGGAAATTTATGACGCACATCACCCATTTATTTGGCACAGGCAGTGTTTATTGCTGAGGGAGGCATTCTCATGGAATTGATTGCACAATTTCCTCCTGGTGTACTGTTTTCAAGTAATATCCCAAGACCTCTGTGTACTAAGATACAGGGACACTTCTTTAAGGCCTGCAGAATACTACAGCAGAGGGGGGAAAAGCCACATAGTGGAAAATAAAATGTAAAAATACAGTTTTAATCACACTGTAAATCTGGGTCTCTCTCCACTCTGCTGGGAGTGTCTGTGGAAACACCCACTCCCAATAGGTTAAAATTCTAGTTTTCTCCATAGAACTAAGAACAGCTTTGTATTTTATCACTGTTTCATTTTCACAGGTATGAAAGGTGGGGGTTTTGTCCTGGGTTACTTGTAGTTCATGCTTTAAGCATGCCTGGATGGTGGACATGTGGTGGGGGGGAGAAATTCTGCACTTTGAAAAAAAAGAGAATGGTATATGCTTAGTGTGATGGTTTGCTGAAAGGGTGGGATTGTTGCCTTTCCCAACAGGCAAAAAGGGGTTGAAACTGTTAATGTCACAAAAGGCAGGATGAGAGGGGTTGTTGCCTTGATTCAAAGAGCTGTGTGACAGCCATACTATGAATGGCACACCATAGAGAGAGAGAAACATCTGTCCTGGAAGAGAACTCTTGGGGTTTTTTTTAAATTTTATTTATTTTTTAATTATTTAATCTGCCCATACACATTCATTTGTACCAAATCTTTGGTATAATAGTTGTCTCATTTGCATTTGGAAAGGCACGGAGTTGGATGCTTGCACACAAATATGTGCCAGGTGATGACACTGGTTACAAGTAATCATGGGCTGAAGATTGCAACCAGAAAATTCAGAGCTCTCTTTTGAAAAGATGACTCAAAGTGCATGGATGGAAAAACAGTGGTGCATGACAGCAGTTCTGGACAATAGATTCTGCTCCCTTCCACTCCATGGGGAATGTCAGTGACAACCCCACACGTATCTGCATGCTGAAGGTACACATTGCTTCTGAAAGTTGCCTGATGAATAACTTTCTTTCTTTCCTGTCTGCCTGGTGAATGGCTCCTCACCTGCTTCACTCTCCTAATTTCCTGGAGGGGAGTTTGGCAGCCAGCACAGCTTTAATTTTGTAATTTCACTTCTCTGGTGTCTCTGTTGGTTTCTGCTAACTTCACAATTATTCTTTCAGGCTCCAGATGAAAGCGATCTCCTCCTAAGCTTCTGTTTTCACACTTCTGAATGGCAGCTTCCTCATCTCAGCCTCCTGATGCTCCTCCTCGGGGCTTGAAGCTGGGGACCAGCTTGAGCCCTGGGTGTGTGTTCTGCAGCTCTCGGGTGTACAGCTGTGGCGTGGGCTGGAGTGGGTGTTTGTTAGCACAGGGGAAGCTCACTGGTAATGGCCTTTTGTATGTACTGACCTCTGAACCAGAAACAAGATTCAAACCTCAGAGGAGACCGGTGATTAATCAAATTGGGGATCAACTGTGACTCAACCTTTAGATTCCCAGCTGAGGTTGTGTCCACGGCTGATTAAAAGAGGGAAATATATTTAGCTATTTACAGCTGTATCTCCCTCTGAAAGAGGACAAGGCACCATGGATAAACATATTTATGTTTGTTAGATGTGCAAATTGTGGTTCCTTTGAAAACCTCACAGTTTATCATAGAGCCTCAGAAAGCACAGGGCTGTTTATTGACACTAGAGGACTTCCCGAGACTGTGCCGTGGCCATCCCTGCTCGGAGTACTTGACACAGGCTGGCACGTCAGCCAGGGAAAAACACCCAGGCATTGCCATCTGCACATGAAAGACTAAAGGTGGCTCCAAGCAGTCCTCTGTAGGAGATAATTTTCCCCCTCAATTAGGTTACAGTTTCTAGATGCTGCACCTCAGAAGCCTTACACTCTTCCCAAGCCCAGCTCTACAGTCAGCCAGTGGTGAACAGAACATACAGACTTTCTATTGCTAATATATTTCAGAGTGCTGTGTGATATTAGCAAACTCCAAATAGCTGTCAGGACCTGAAGGTATTCTGGAACATCCTTTGATGTTACGAAGTAATGCGTTTTCCATATTATTCCTTTGAACACATTATATATGCAAAGTCTAGCACTTCTTATAGGAGAGGTGGAATTATCATACAATAAGATATTTTTTCCTCTAGTTCTTTCATGGCTCATAACATATAAAATTTCTCCTTAAAATCCAGGCTAGGAACTCAAACTTAATTTATACAGTATTGAAAACATTACAGGGCATAAATCAGTTCAATTTTTAAAGTTCCTGCATGATATTTTCAGAGCAGCCAAATTCCTTCATTCGCCTGGACTCCTTCCAAAATTCTGCCAGCGCTCATGGAAATCTAAATAACTTTGGAGAAAAAGCAGGTTTTCTGTGGAGGCTCAGATTACCCTGTCACCCTTCCTCCACTGCAGACAGGCCTCTGATAAACATGGAGAATAGGGACAGGGAAATTACTTCATTACTTCATGTCCTTTTCAATTACAAACATCAAGGAGTCTGAGCCTCCTGCCAGCTCACGCCCCAGACCCTTGCAAATTTGTGGCTTTCAAAAGCCAACAGTTGCATTTCCTTTGCCAGCAGGGATAAGCGATAGAAAGCGAGCAGGGGAGCTCACTTGAATTTTATTTCTGAGTGTTATTTAAAAAGTTTCAAATCTCAGCTCTGTTTATTTAAAGTAGGACTCCAGCTGAAATGTAAGTCTGTGAACTAGAGAAGTGATCAAAACAGGACCGCACCTTCCTTTCTTTTCTGAGAATTAATCACTTACTGGTGGTGTGTTACTGTAATCTTCCTGTGATCACTTAACCTGGAAGTGGTACTTCCAGAGAGCTTTGTGATATTCTCCTGCTGGCATCTTCAGATCTACTATTTGTACCATTCATCTGTTTTCACAGCACATGAGGATAATGCATTTGTTTTCTACCACCTTTGCTTTGTGTTTTGATTTACACCTAAAGAAACAAGTGTATTTTCTTTGATGTAATTTTTCCATTATTGATGAACCAATATTACAAAACCAAGGCTTTTTAAGATCTTACTTAGAAACCTCGTTATTTCTACCAAATAACAAAAAAAGTAAACCCCAGTGTCAGAGCACTGTGGCAGGAGTGAATCTGATTTCCTACTTAAAGCACAAACCATAGAGGCTCGACCTCTGCTCAGTTTTTAGGTTTTTTTAGGCTTAAAGTCACCGAAATAGAAGCCTGTGTTTGGGTTAACCACAGGTGTCTGTGTATAGCTCTGGGAGAGTTTGCTGGGATTATTCTGTTCCTCTTTTTTTACACCATGATTCTGCAGTGTGGGCTCAGGTGACTTGGTACCTCAACTGGCCAGATGTCTGCCCTGCAGTGGTGTTATGTCCTGATCACCTTTGTGATCATCTTTGTGGTCAAGAGAGAGAGAAGGGAGAGGAGGACCTGTGAAAAGGTTGTGGGGTTCTTCAGTGCTTCGCAATTCAGGTTTTGCTTTGATATGAATTCAACAATCCAAACATTCTTGTGAAATGAATCTGCAGTGGGTGTGGGTAGAGCAAACAGGTGATGACATGGAAATCAAGAGGCTATCCAGAAGTTCTCACTACATCTTTTCCCAGCTTTTACTTGTTTCTTACTTGCATATTACTTGAATACCTCTGTTTAAGTCAGTGGGAATTTTTCTAAGTGAAATTGAAGTTGTTACCTAGAAGGTGTGCAGAATCTTTTCGATACCTTCAAAGCTTCATCCCTTGGCTGGAACTCTCCTGGATTCAGGCTCTGTGTGGGTATGTACATGTATGTATGTGTGTGTTTGCTTCTTGATATTCTCTGCTACCTCTTGGGCCATAAATATTGTGTGAACCACAACAGAGGCATGTCTACTGCTGGTATCAGCCCAAGTGTGGAAGTACATAAAACAAAAAAGTACTAAGGAAAAGTTCACCAGACTTGGAAACTCCCAGCTGGCCAGGGAGCTGCCTGGAATGAATGATCTATACCTGGAATAATTTTGTGTACTCACTGACTCCCTAAGATAGGATGCCAAAACTGGTTTTTTGCATAATGTTAAGGTCACAATGATGTAGGTATTTTTTAGTTAATGGAAATTTTGGATGCGCTGTAAGCAATTTTTTCTTTTAAGAAGGAAGACTGCAGATGGACTCTCATTCTATTTGCTGATGTGTAATAAGGAAAGGTGTATCAACCCAAGAATCCTATTGTTGTGACAAATCACGAGAAGGGGAGTAAGACAGTGCCTGCTAAATGTAGCCTGTGCAAATCCAGTACATTCCAAATCCATGGAGTGAAATACTGTTTGGAATAAAATATGATCGAAACATTTCTGGAAATATAACTCCACTGGCTAGTTCCCCACCTGGACTTAGTTTTCATATTGTAGGAGAGTAATTAAATTTTTATTCTTTTTAAATTATAGCCCCCCCCAACCCAATATCAGTTCTCTTGTCTTCCCACTGAAGCAAGCACTGTTAAGCTGCTATAACTTTAAGAGCATGAAAGCAAATGTTGTAAAGAGGTCACTGTAAAGGTCACGCAGCAGGTTTGATGTGTCAGTGGATAAATGATGGGATCACATCTGGAACAGTTTGGTGAATAAATAAAATGTGAAAGCTCATATATCACTGCCCACCTTCCAATCTGTAAGGGAAAGAGAAAATAAATTCTCTAATAACCTTGTAAAGCACATAAAAGATATTGAATAAACTCTTGAAATTTTGTGACTAAAACTGTCTGTATTAAATAATGATTTTAAGAGTGGCAAAAAGCTTGAAATACAGTATGAGTCTTCCTTGTAAAATGTTGTTTTATTTTATGGTTTATTTATTAGACTATACTTGGATAGCTTTGAAAAATATAATTTTGAGTTTAACTATGTGTTATTGAAACACTCTTCCTTTAGATATGTCCCCCAGAGGTATTTTATATTTACACTTAGGGAAAAGAATTTTCAATTTTTATTACACAGTGCTGCATTATTGCTTATACTGCCACTATATTCTGCCTTCTGCAAGTAACATTAATATATGCATATTTTACTGCCATTACCTTCAAAAGGCCTTAGAAAACCCATAGGTCTAAAATGATTTCTCTAAGTTGGTCATTACTGACTACTGAATTAAGATACCAACAGGCTGTATATTGTTTTACTGGGCCATTAATAATAAGCCCCTGTGAGCTGTAAGACAGCAAGCTAGAAACTGAGTAATTTCAGTCACCAAAGGAATGTACAGTATTAATAAAAGGCTCATAGAAACCTGTTCTGGAGTGTGAATGCCTTTGGTGTCTGATGAGGCACCCAAGGCAGGGGGTGAGTTTTGATCTCCAGACTCCTGCAAGCAGCTCCTTGGGACGTGAGTGGCAGTGGCAGGGGCTGGCGTGGCTGCGTGGGGAAGTACCACACGTGTGTAGGAAAACAATACATGCAGATGTGTGATGTACAGTCACTGCCAACAGCTGCAGAGGAGTCTTGGTGCTCGTTTTCCTCCCTTGCACAGGCCATTGCAGTGCCCCAGCTGTGCTCCGAGGCACAGAGCCACGCGTGCCATGCTCTGCTGGAGGCCCCGGGACTGGGCAGGCACTGGGTGCACCCAAACACAGGCTGTGCTGTGGGAATAGCAGACAAATTAGTCATGACGCTCCCACAGTTTTGCTGGGAAGGAAGAGCTGAAACCAGTGCCTAATGTAGTCACGGAGAAAGTGTCGTCAGCTTAATCTGGGAGCAAGAGGGTGAACGCTGTTGTTGGAGGGTATGGATGTAGGAAAGTGTGGAGTGGATGGCTGGAAAACCAAGGTACAGTGGGTAGGCTGTTAGGGCTGGGATAGTTCCTGAAGAAACCTGAAATGTCACCAACTAATGCCTGTTTGTCTCCTGCCTTTCACACGTGCAGTGTAAGGCATTTAGCATCTGAGGTAGATGATGGAACAAGAACTAAAAAAAAAGGATAGGCAAAGTCTAAGCTGGTTATAACCACAAATGTAGCTTTTGTTCTGGAAGACCATGTTACTTGTAACCTTTAACTTAAACTTGGAAATCACAGTTGGTTTTGTGACTTTGCTAAAAATCACTGAAACTGATGCCAGGAAGCAAATCAATGACCTACAAGAACACTTTATTTTCCCAAATAAGATCTTGTTGCACATAGGTCAATCCTGCAATTTCTTCGATTCCTTTATTGAGCTCCACCTTAATGTGGATTTGGTTTCTTGTCCCTGTCAGACAGCTGTTCTAAATATCTTATTCCTTTGATGAGCCGAAACCCCTTCAAATATCCAGCTCATACTTTATAGCCAACTTAGCTCCATTAAATTTTTTGGCAAATACATGGTCATGCAGTCTTTGAAAACAGGCATATTTAATACAGCCTCATGCAGCTTTTTTTTCCTCAGAGGAAAGGTAATTTAACTTACAGAGAGAATTTTATACTTTAGCACAGGTTTCTGATTCCCTGAGCAGAGCATTGAGTGTGTCTGTCCTGCCACGGAAACTTGGGCTTTTCTCTTTCATTTTCCTCTGAAGGATTCTTGTTACTCTAAGGATGAACAGGAGCATGTGAAATACTCCACAGAGAGTGACAGAGCTGGGGCAGAATGTGACACCAGTTCGAAGGCAACAGAGGTTGTAAAGGCAGCAATTTCTTTAGCAGAAACATGATGAGGTGCTGCGTTGAGATAGTCTTGGCCAGTAGCAGTGATCCATGAGTCTCCCTGCAGAAACAAAACTTACTTTTTGCTCAACTTTATTCAGCCTAATTTTTTCTTTTTTTGCAAGCTGAATTCTGTTCATTTAGACCTGGGTCTATCTGAGGGTCTGGGGTTTTCTCTTTTCATTCTATTGCCTTGCCTGAGCCCACTGGCACTGTGGCCATTGATAAACCTTCATGCATTACCTGCTGAGGGGAGGAATGGGAGAACCTCACATTGCAGCTACAAGATTAAATGCTGCCATTGAACCCTGGACAATTTTGTGCCACTAATCTTTTGGTCTGACTAATATAGCTAGATATACTACCCAAACCTTTCAGTGATGGAAATCATGTCTAGATCTGGCAAGCAGAGAAATAAGAAAATGGGGTGATAAATATGTTAGGAAGAACTGTTTTTGATTGTGTATTTGGCAGCTTTTGGAGAATACACATGACTTAGGGATGCCACCTCTATAATCTGTGTTCAGAGAATACTATGGCTGCAAAACAGTGGAACTATGTTTGACCATTTACCGTCCAAATTTCTTATATCTATAGGTAGCAATAGGATGTTATGTAGGAAACTTGCATATGAACAGGGATAATCTTCTTTCTGTGTTGAATTTAACATCCATTGCTTGAATATCCAGTTGTCTTCTAGTTTCTTTATCCAGCCCAGACTTAGGATGGATATGAATTTCTAGCCACATATAGTTGTCCGTGTCTGTGATGCCATTCATGTGAATGTAGAAAAATCTATGTACAATAGCAAATAAAATTAAAGTCACCCAGGGAAATTGAACAGTGTAAAGCAAAGATTTTGCTTCCTTTTCTGGACATGTGAAGTTTTAGTATTGTTGACTTTTTGAGCAGAATTTTTCTTACTAAGAAGACTCTAACCTTTCCCATCAGACCCCAGTCCGAAACAGACCCTTCTATCTCATTGCAGAAACCTGCCTGGAATCGGGGAATCTGCACCCATTAGAGCCTTGGGGAACAGCCCATGAGGAGAAAGGCATGACACAGATGTTGCTTGTGAGATGACTTATGCAGTCACAGAGAAAGCATCTGAGGATGAGTGGCTATCAGAAGCTCAGTTTTTGTTACCAGCTGATGATTTTGTCACTGTCTGCTTCAGAGGTGCAACCTCTACTTTCAGCAGGCAACATTAACCTGTGAGAAGGTTTGTGGCTCTGGAGCTAGCCAGAGTTTCAACCCTCAGCTGAGAGCCAAGGCTGCACATTTTGCATCCAAGACCCCCAGGCAGACCCTTCATTCTACCTCATCTCGCAGCTGCAGAGTGAGGCATAACCCAGCCTTAAATGAAGTGGTTCAAAGTCCATAAATTAACCTTTGCAAGCCTGAATTGCTATCTACACAGCCCTGTTGGTAGCAAATGGTAAAGCTGGGAAGAAAAGCCAGGAGCCCTAATTTCATGGCTGTGTTCCTGACTCTGTCATTCTAGCCCAGCACAGGACAGTGTCTCAGATTTCACTGGTGGCTAAGCACAGGAATATCACAGCTCACCTGGCCCTAGTCCCGCAGTTCTTTGCCCCACTGATACCCTCACTGTACTTTTGGAGCCAATTACTAGTTTCCTGTGGGATGTCTTTAACTTCCCTATATTTTTCTGAGAAGTTTTAATCTTAAGGGAATGTCTGGGTTTAGAGGCATGCACAGCAGAACAACTGTGCTGCGAAGAATATGGTTTTAATCAGAGTGAAGCAATACTTCTGTTAATTATGTTGTGTATTGTGTGATAGAGGAGATCTTATGCTGTTTCCTCTTTTGTACTATGCAACATCTTGTATTTTCTATGCCCTGCCAGAAGCCATCAAATCTTTTTGAAATTCAGTTGAACAACTGTCCTTGCAAAGAAGAGGTTAGCAGATGATATTATAGGCTGAAGGAAAATTATGAAATTGAGGAAGAAAATATGAATCTATCAGAATTATAAAGATCATGGCAAATACTCATAAAATTGGAGCTGTTGCCATGCTGCTAGAATATCCAGTCATTTTAATTTTGAAACATTTCAGCACATTTACAAACTGTGGTCAGCTCAACATGCTGCTAAATCAATACCTGAAACACTTCTTTAGCTTTTCCAACTTGGTTCTTGCATCTGGCTTTTCTGGGGGAGGGTACTGGTCTTTGAAAATTTACTGTAACATAACATATATGAGGTGAGATGTGATGCATGGCTGAGGGGAGGATCAGACCAATAATCCATGGTAGGGCTACATTATGGTTCTACAATCCCCCATCCATCTATGTCAGGTGAGTATGCTTTAAATGGGAAGGGGTAGCCATTGGAACATGTAAGATTAATAGGTGATGTGTGTGTTAATTACAGGATCATAGATGTTGGGTTTGGAGTGGTCTTTATAGACTGTTGAGTCAAGTCACTGGGATCTCTTGCAGTTTACCCCAGGTATTTTCCCTCTGAGAGAGCTCGCTGGCGTCGGCTGGAATGTGTCTGTTGATAATGCTCGTGCTGCTTCTCTCTTCAGAGGGCTACGCTGTTGAATTACTGTTCCTGTTGGAAAGTTTTTTCTTGTTATCTAATCTAAACTTGCCCTTCTTTAATTTAAAGCCATTACCCCTTGTAGTACATTGTACTTGGCCAACCTTAAATAAGTCTTTCTTCTCCTTTACATTATTTCCTCTCAAGTATTAATTACCTCCAACACTTCTCTTTATTTCTCTAAGCTATTTAGGTTAACTTCCCTTAACCTTTCTCCGAACCCTCCTCTCAAAGGTTACGTTAGCTGACATATTGTCTTGAAAATGTTAACTGTTGCTAAAAGCACTTCTCATAGAGCACGCTCCTACCGAGCGTGCAGCTGGATA